CACTTATTTTAAACGCTTGCTGATTTATTAATTTTTTTAAAAAGGAAGTCTTCACCCAAGGCCTGAAGTTCAACAGGGACTGTCTGATTTCAGCTGGCAGGAAGTTCCATAGAATTGTAGTCATGTCTTTTCATTGTTTCTAGAAATCTAGAAAGGTTCCATTCATTTCTAGATCAATGTAGACAACATTTCTGAGAAAGTTATTGAAAGAACAACCCCCATATATCCTGAAAACAGACAACACTTTTCACAGTTGATGTAAATGATCAGGAAAAGAAATGGGGAACCTTTTTGGTGCAGCCCCACTTCCTACACAGAATGAGAGGCCTCCATCAGATCACATAGCTACAACATACCTGTTGTGTAGGAATTATGATTACTGCGCCATTTTGTGATGAGGATATAACATTGCCAATGGCCCTTGAGCAAAGGCGGAGTTGCCAGTCAAAGGAAAATGAGTCTGTGAACATTTCTCTCTCTCAAACAAATTGAAGTTGATCCAAGAAGGTGTGTTGTGAGAAAGCTAAAGAGGAGGGAGGAATTCTTATGCCTCCGAGCCATGGCAGAGACATGACAGGGATGGGATGCAAAACGCAGTTTGAAATATTTAATAACATCCCTATTGACAAACAGGAAAAGCAGCTTCCTGCTTTGAAATAAAGGTCACAAGTTGTTCACACGGGAGATTAAACAGTAACACAAAAGGCCTGGATAAATTGCAAAAAAGTAAAAAAAAACAGAGTAATTTTCTACTGGAGGGTTGCAACAGAAGCATGGGGTGATCGTTGGGGTGTGCATTGGTTCTGTGTGCGAGACGAGGGGTGATTTGGTGAGGTTTTGGTGAGCATTCCAAGATAGAATTGAGCCTTCCAAGATAGAATGCTGCTGTTAACAAGGAATCTCAAGCCAACAGATGTCCGTAGAAAGCCCATAAGCAGGACACAAGTACAACAGCACTCTCCGCACTAGAGATTTCCAGCAACTGGTATTCAGAAGCATATTGCCTCTGACACTGGAGGTATTCCTGTAATTCTTGGCCTGACCTCTGACTTGCTCCCCAGTCCACTGAGAGCCAGTGTGGTGTAGTGGTTAAGAGCGGGAGTCTCGTAATCTGGGGAACCGGGTTCGCGTCTCCACTCCTCCACATGCAGCTGCTGGGTGACCTTGGGCCAGTCACACTTCTTTGCAGTCTCTCAGCCCCACTCACCTCACAGAGTGTTTGTTGTGGGGGAGGAAGGGAAAGGAGAATGTTAGCCGCTTTGAGACTCCTTAGGGTAGTGATAAAGCGGGACATCCAAACCATTCTTCTCTCTTCCTGCCCTTAGGTTCATCCTCATGACCTCTGGACTTCTTGACTAAATCCCTGTAATAAATAATATAACTACTAAGAAATAAAGTGTGGTGGAGTGGTTAGTGTGTCAGACTAGGATCTGGGAGACCTGGATTTGAATCCCGCTCAACCATGAAGCTCACTGGGTGACCTTGGGCCAGTCACTTTCTTTCAGCCTAACCTATCTCACAGGGTAAGGATAATATGAAGAAGGGAAGCACCATCTCTGCCATTTTGAGTCCCTTGAAGGAAATGCGAGATTTAAATGCAATCTAAAAATAAAATAAAATAAAGTACGGTAATTCCACAGCATGTTAATCACAGCATTAGGGATGAGGGAGAAACTTGATCCCGTTCACATTGGAAGGAGAATCTGCTGAATTCTTGCTTTCCGAAACAATACACAAACTGAAACACAGCCATCCTTTGAAAATTCCCCAAATTTTGCAATGCAGATCTCCAACCAAGTAATATGTACAAAAAATTGCATGTACCAGGGTAAAGTGTGCATAAAAGGCATGTATTAGTGAAAATAACATCTGAAATGCATTATATTATGGAAGGTTACTATGCAAAAATGTGCACCACAGGCAAAATTGCAGACAGTCATGTGTATATTAGAAGAAATGCACTGATTAATTTTCAAGATGATTTTTAAAAAAATCACAAACTGATATGGAAATGTGGAGAACTCAGCGTAAGTAGGGAAAAATGAAAAACCGAGGGAAACTGAAATTGACAGATGCTCCCATCGGTGTGCAATTTCACCCTACAAAGCTAAAGATGTTGCAAAATTTCCCAGAGCAGATGGAATGGAATGTCCCACTAAGCAAACTTCTGGATTGGGTTGCCAACTGACCAGGAAAACAGGCATGGTCTGTTCTTGTGTCTTTAACAGCTTGTTCTAAAGAAATAAGCTGGTGAAATCTTTCACGTTGTGTAGACAAGTGTTCTCACTTCTTAAAGGCACAAGAGCCTTGTAAATCACTGATGACCCTACTTCTCAAATCCAAGATGACTGCAGATTTCATGTTTGGGAGTAGTATGTAGAAGGAGAGATCTAAGAGTTTTTAGATCTGCAGCAGAAGATGTGACTTGACCTTGAACCCTTTAATTTAGGGCAAGTTCAGGCATATCTGATCTATGAACTCCAAGACAGGAGAACAAAAGTGGATGACATTTTAATAATCTGATCTGATAGCTGATTGATTATCATGGAGAAAGCCTTCACATTGCATGTAATAAATGCATTTGAATGGTTCAGTGGATGGTTGGTGAAATTTTCCTGGAGTAAAATTGACATGTGATATGTGAATCTGCCAGATGTAAGTATGAAGTAACCAGCTTTTACTGGATTGTTTTTGTAACTTTCACAACTATTCCCAGAAGTCATTCTATCAAATATTTGCATTTCTCCTATTCTGTTTGGTAAATAATGTCTGAAAAGTAAATTGATTCTAAAAAGTATTATGTTTTCAGTTGTTGTTCTTTTAATGTACAAGTCAACATTTTATAATGTATTTTGTATTGACATTGTCTTTTGTTAATTATGTTTTTCAGTGCTGCTTGCTCAAGTGCAATTTTAAAAACCTGCATTTCCTCTTGTGCAAGATTTAAATGTGTGTTTGAATATAAGCCAGTCTCTAATAATTGCTAATGAAAGTGACATCTTCTTTGGTAACCACTGTTGAAAGAAACAGTAGCAAGATGTGAATTTATTTATTGAATGGTATATAGCCAGCGTTTCCATTTCAGATAGGACCCACAAGGTGGCTGTCAACCAAATACAACAAGAGAAACTCTAACACATTAAAAAAACACCCCACCTTAAATAATGCCACAAACTAGTAGAATATTTAAATCAGCAAAAACAAACCTCCATTCATTTCACACTATTTCAATTAGTGTCCCTTTCAAATGCCCATGCAAACAGCACTGTTTTAACTTGCAGGCAGAAAGGTTATCAGTTTCATAGTCCAGGTGCCATCACTGAGAAGGCCCTGCACAGTGTACTTTACCTATCATACCTTAGATGGCAATGGGACAGTAAACACAGCCTCTCCTAGCAATCAAAGGGTATAGGCATGGTTATATGGAGGTAACAGCCCTTTATACATCCATCTCTCAAACTGCTACGACCCATGAAGCCAAATTCCGGCTTCGATTTAGGGATGCGTGAGGGGGGCAGGTGCCCTGGGTAGAGGGCAGGGGATCGGAAAACTGCATCCTGCTTTGATGGTGCAGCAGGAGAAACCACACTGCAAGGCCCATTGCCAGTCCTAAATTTGGTGCTTTGAAGCTCTGAGCATAGGGCTGGCAGACCTCTCATTTCTCCCTGTCCCGCCATTGACAGGGAGGAGGGGAACAAGGGTGGAGTTTGCAAATGACAGCAGCAAGCAGAGCTTCTCCAGTTTGCCTCCCTTGTTTGCAAAACATGGATTTGTTTCTCTCCTCACCACAGCTTGATGGGATGGGAGGAAAAGCAAGCAAAGGCAGTCCTCACTCGCTGCTATAGCTCGCAAACACCCAAACCAAGCCGGACCACTCTCTTTGGGAGCATGGAGGCTGCCTTAAAGTGCTTTTCAAAAGCTCTGCTTGAAGCAGCTTTTGCGAGTCTCTTCTCCCCTACCCTGCTGTTGCCCACCTGCAGGAGAAGCATGTGAGCGGCTTCAAACCGTGCTCTCGAGCAGGATTTAATAGCTGCTCATCTGCTGATGAGTGGAGATTAAATCCTGCTGCATAGAGGATGAACCATTAGAGACGTATGCTTCCTATTCATTTACAAAAGAACAATCCTTGGCATTTATTCTATAGACACACAATTTATTAAATTTGTACACCACCCTTCATCTGAAAATCTCAGGGTGGTTCATAGCATACTGTGATTCTAACCAAATTTAGATCTGTATTGTGGCAGCTAGGTGCTCCTACCCCAACAACCTGCTTCCCATCAGTTCCTCTGTCATTCTTGTTCTTCAAGAGTCATGCGTCTTCTGTTTTTCCTTGGGACTATGAGGGACTATGGGACGCAGGTGGCACTGTGGGTTAAATCACAGAGCCTAGGACTTGCTGATCAGAAGGTCGGCAGTTCGAATCCCTGCGACGGGGTGAGCTCCTGTTGTTTGGTCCGTGCTCCTGCCCACCTAGCAGTTCGAAAGCACATCAAAGTGCAAGTAGATAAATAGGTACCGCTCTGGCGGGAAGGTAAACGGTGTTTCCGTTCGCTGCTCTGGTTCGCCAGAAGCGGCTTAGTCATGCTGGCCACATGACCTGGAATCTGTACGCTGGCTCCCTTGGCCAATAAAGCAAGATGAGCGCCGCAACCCCAGAGTCGTCCGCGACTGGACCTAATGGTCAGGGGTCCCTTTACCTTTACCTATGAGAGTCTAGCTAGAAGAGAGTCCATCCATGCCCTCTTCCAGGATATTGCATCCCACCATATTGTTGATCTCACAAGCACGGTTGGCCAGCAATGGGTGGTGGCCTTCCAGATGATTGACAACTCCACCATTGTTTTCTGTAGGCAGCTAAAACAGGAAGTCTATCAACCCCATATTGGGCTGCCACATATGGCTGGTGGGCCGGATTGGGCTTGGCACAGACCTGAATAAGGAAGAACATACCCCAAATGTAACACATATGCAGCATTGGCTCACACCACATCGCCTACCAGTTCCAGATGCTCTCTTCCAATGTGTGGTCTCCTGCAGCTCCGTTCGGGGAGCTTCAAAGCCAGCAGCCAGCTGAACCGCTTTGCTGTGGGTCAGTTTAAGCTTCTCCTTTGATGTCGTTCCCCTGCCCTTTTCTTTCTCTGTGTTAACGAGCGATAGGCTTTCATCAGCCAACTGTTTTGATTTTAATTATTTTGAAATCCGCAGCTGAGATTACACTGAGTAATGCAGCCCCATTATAATAAAAAGGGAAAGGGATGTTTACAGGAGTTTGTGCTGCTGGTGGTGCAGGCGAATCAAAACGCTGAAAAGTTGGACACCCTGCCAATTCTGCCAGCAGCTTGCGCACTCGGAAAGGAAACCCTGCCCACTCAGGAGGATTGGCAGGGAGCCCAAAGGCATAGCTTTTGTTTGTGGGGAGGAAGGCTGACCTGCACAGAGTGGCTATAAGCACACGGCCGTTTTGTTTTGTGCTGGTTCAGTTTCCAAACAAAGCAAAGCAGAAATGGGCACAGGCATCGTGTGACATTTGCCCCGCTGTATCCTATGGAATTTGGACCCACACCTTTAATGGGCATCAGTGGAAGAGCATGTTTTCCAGAGTGCGATCTTTTGCGTGGAAGATTCCACTTCCTCTTTTGAAATGAACGGCTGTAAGAGCTTCCTGTGGGTAGACAAGCCATTAAATGTACAGTTGTAAGAGCTTCATACATGCAGAGTATCCATAGGTCTATGGTTAGGGTGCATAACTGGGACTAGTTTTCAGATCTGAAAGTATGTGTGTGTATGGGGGGGGGAGAGTTGTAGAGTAGGGCATAATTTCCCCCAGGATATAACTTTCTAGGCAATGAGAAAAACATATGATGGTCCAGTGTGTACAGAACATCGATGGGGACACAGAAGGGGAGTTTTCATTGTGTTCTGAACTTAAACAATGGAATGAAAAGATACATAGAGTCAGTGTAATTTTGTAAGCAGTATCATACCACTTCAAACAGAATCCTGGGTACCATCTTGTGGGAGGAGTTGGCCCCCCCCAAAAAAAATCAATGAAGGGGCTGGGCCCCCTCACCGTTAAGGGATGGCTGTGTGTGCACGCCATAGGACACACATGCGTCATGTGTGCAAGCTGCAGGGCATCCACATGACATGTCAGCACACTCCTCAATCATCCTAGAATCACACCTTTCAGTATATTGCACTGCTTTGTAATTGGAAGCTAATAGGTCCTACCTTTTAATAAGCCATCTGGAGAGCTTTCTGTACAATGCATTTCCACCTTGCTCAATGAAAGAACCCCATGTGTACTAAACCATACAGGTTTCTCTTTTTTAAAAAGGAAGAAGCTTTTCTTGCATATCGGTTGTCATTCTGCCTGCACAGTAATATATCTTCCAATGAGGCTTTGTTTTGGTTTCCATAAATCTCCCACGAGTTGTTCGCTACAGCCTGCAACTTATCTCATGCCAAAATGAGCAAAAATGACTGCTGCATAACCTTGTCTCTCCACCAGCCTGGTCTCAAAACCTATAACATGTGCAGTATTCTTAATAAAGATAATTGATTCTGAGCAAAGACAGGAGGCATTCTTCTCCCTCTCCATATCTCTGCAGCCCATCTGCACCAGCGCCTCTTGGGTCAGGCCATGCCAGCCCCACTTGTGGGCCCCAGCCCAGTCATTGAAGACCAGTGGTGTAGATGAGCCTTGCTTCCCTAGTGCACTTGCAGCAACATTCCGTGAAATCAATAAGCAGAGCTGTATGTCAGATGTGCGTAGAGAAAAATCAGCCAAAATCCTATGTTATGCTACATCACAGAATGGCTTCTGTGAACTGTTTAAAATTATGCAAATGATTTTTATGTTTTTGCATAATATGCATATGTTAATCATCCCAAAAGACCCTGTTTGGCCCATCTTGTCCAGCATTCTGTTCTCATAATGGCCACAAGAACTCTTCCAGAAACTGGTAAAGGTAAAGGGACCCCAAAGTGGCCGACTCGGGTTGCGGCGCTCATCTCGCTTTATTGGCTGAGGGAGCCGGCGTACAGCTTCCGGGTCATGTAGCCCGCATGACTAAGCCACTTCTGGCTAACCAGAGCAGCGCACGGAAACGCCGTTTACCTTCCCGCCGGAGCGGTACCTATTTATCTACTTGCACTTTGACATGCTTTCGAACTGCTAGGTTGGCAGGAGCAGGGACCGAGCAACGGGAGCTCACCCTGTCGCGGGGATTCGAACTGCCGACCTTCTGATCAGCAACTCCTAGGCTCTGTGGTTTAACCCACAGCGCCACCCGTGTCCCATCCAGAAACTGGTATTCAGAAGCAAACTGCCTCTGACAATGGACGTAGAACACAGCTCACATGGTTAGTAGCTATTGTCCTCCATGAATTTGTCCAATCCAAGTTGGTGGTCATCACTGCCTCTTGTGAGAGTGAATTCCTTCATGAAGCTATGCACTGCATGTAAAAGTGCTGTTGCAAAAGTTGGGTGCCACCCCCGCTCTCTGCAAGATTCCAGGGGGTTCCAGGCACTCACCCAGGCAGTCTGTTTAATCAGAGAAAAGCCATTGTCAACATTTACTCAAGATTGCAAACCTCTCATAGACTTCTTGCATGAAAACGAAAAAGAAAAAAAACAACATTTGGGTTTGAAGGCTGAAGATAATGTTGGTTTATAAAACGTAGTTGTGTTGGGTGTTATATTGGAGTAGATGACTTGAATAAAGTTTATATATAGCTGACAGAAGTTCATGATTATATATAGCTGCCTGAATTGGAAGTTTCTTAACTTTATTTTTTCTTTCTTTCTTTTAATTCTTCGCTCACTTGCTTTCTCTCCCCCCCCTCCTCTTTCTTCTCCTCTGGATCTATGTTTCTCTCTTACTTAGATTAATGTTTTAGTTTGTAAAAAAAGAAGAAGATATTTGATAGTAATATTTGTATCTCTCTTTATAAAATCAATAAAATTTATTCAAAAACCCCCCAGTAACAACCATGTCCATCCTTCATGGTAAAAAGCTCAGGGTCCTAATTACCAGTAAATAGCAATTCAGAGGGAGCCCTTGCCTGTCATTTTAGATAATTGAAAGCAAATCTGCACAAGTGGCCGAGCACAAATGTTCTCACTGTTGCCTGGAAAATGCCTTCTTCCACCAACAAATCCATGCAACTCGAGTAGGAAGAAAATTAATTCATTTGGCCACAAAGAATGAGTCAAAAGCCCTACGTGACTGGGAATTTCTCAGACTGGAATGGGTTTCCGAATGAGATGCAAGTAGCGGGTGTTTGCAAATGAGACAACTCATCCAGGGATTTCAATAAAAGACGTCTTTATATCTAACTTGCAACTGAGATCATGAATCTTTGTAGATGGAGGACACTGGGCTTTTTTAAAAAAATGTACTGTTCTGCATTGATGGAATATACTCTCTAAGGAAGCTCATCTAGCAACATTCTTTTCTAAAAATGAAAAATTGCATGAAAGCACTTGTTTTTACTGGGCCTGTCTATTATTTTTTAAAAACGTTATTCCTGCCAATGTTCAGCTTTCAATTATTTTAAATCAATAGGAAATTAATAAATCATTCTTATATCTTTGTTTTATTCAGGGACAATAGCTCAGTGGTTGAGCATGTGTCAGGCAAGCAGAGGGTTCCAGGTTCAGTCCCTGGTATCTCCACTTAAAAGGATTCAGTTGCAAGACAATGGACAACTGCTGCTCATCAATCTGGACAATGCTGCGTTATTGGGGCAAATAGTCCGACTTGGTATAAAGCAGTGTTCTCTGTCTCTGAACTAAGGCTGAAATTCATTGGGCAGCATCTGTAACCTGGAAAAAAACCCAGGCAATTTCCCAGACATAGCCGGCAATTGGCCATCAGAAGCTTTGTCCAGGAAACTGAGAGGTCTGGGAAAATTTGGACGTATGGCAACCCATGCTGGAAGTGCTGTTTTCAACAACCTTGAGCTCAACTTTTTTTGTCCGGATTTTCACTTTTTGAAACATAGCAATCCTAGATTAACATATATCTGAAAGACGTACAATTGTGCATGCTTAAAGGGACCCCTGACCATTAGGTCCAGTCGTGACCGACTCTGGGGTTGCGGCGCTCATCCTGCTTTATTGGCCGAGGGAGCCGGTGCACAGCTTCCGGGTCATGTGGCCAGCATGACTAAGCCACTTCTGACGAACCAGAGCAGTGCACGGAAATGCCGTTTACCTTCCTGCCGGAGCGGTACCTATTTATCTACTTGCACTTTGACGTGCTTTCGAACGGCTAGGTTGGCAGGAGCAGGGACTGAGCAACGGGAGCTCACCCTGTTGCGGGGATTCGAACCGTCAACCTTCTGATCAGCAAGTCCTAGGCTCTGTGGTTTAACCCACAGCACCACCTGCATCCAAACCTGGAAGTGACTGAAAATGTCCTAAAAATGTCACTTAAAGGGCAGAATGGGGGCAGGGAGGAATGGGGCAGGGTGCACTTATGCACAAATAGGTATTCATGTCTACTGATGTGTGCAGGGTCTGGGAACAGAGCCCCATGCGAAATGGTCATCGGCAGTATTTTTAAAAGGCTGAATAAACATGGATTCCAAAATACACCTTGACCCCTGTGGTCATTCAGAGGGGCTGCTTTCTTCTTAGCATGAGACAGCACTCATACCTATTTGCGATGCAGTAAACAAGGTCCAGCAATCCAACCCCAATGGAAGTATTCTGGGAAATCCCTGGTAGTTGAATCTTGCCTTCTTATCCTCACACTCAGTCTGGTGGCTTATACCGCTTATATTTTGTGGTAGAGAAAAATGGGCATCTGGTTGGCCACTATGGGAACAGAATGCTGGACGAGGAGAAGCCTTTGGTCTAATCCAATGGAGCTCTTCTTATGTTCTTATGATGCCTTAACTCATATTTGACCTCACTTGTTGGTAAAAACTTCCATCACTCTGATCCTTTTTTTTTATAGTAATTTCCCTGTTCACTTCCACTTAGGCTTCATCCTCCCCTCCAGTCATGGCTTCCACCTCTATCTTCTGCACTTCCAGTGCTGCACCTCCAGATGCTAATGCTCAGGCTGCTTCTCCTGCTGAACTTCTGAACCTCCTTCTGAACTTCTGCACCTTCTGAACTTTCTGGGGCCCTAGTGCCAGCCTGCCTCTCCTGCTCATCAGTGGTACCTCCAAGCACCACCAGGAATGAGGAGATAGAACTAACAATCAATAAATTAAATTAAACCACAACTGAGGGTTGTTTTCAACTATGTCCTATACAGAGTA